CGTTTCATTCACAAGAGCCGATCAATGGTCGCGCCGGATGTGCAGCGCGAACGCATCGCGAGCGAAAACACGATACGACGCGATTTACGGCTTCGTGCAAATTGCGAATCTCAAAGTGACGACAAGAGGAGCCGTATTCTTCAAAGATATTGCATACGAAAATATACAAAAATACTAAACAATATCATTGAATAAAGAGGCTAGTAATAGTCACCGAATGTTGAAAGTTTGATTAATATAAACCAAACAATTTTACTTTTCTAAATATTTGGTATTACCAAACGATTGGTTATATTATTGTTTGATAATACTTGCTAAATATTTAGAAAAGTAATTTTTGATTTATATTAGCCAAACATTAGACTAGAATTACTTCACTCAACATTTGATACTCTCTAAGACTTTTTCGAATGATTCTCACACTTAAAGATCGAAAATTGAGCTTCAAGACCGACTCAATTTTCTTCAGAGCGAGATCCCACTCCAAAGAATTTAGAGTGGCGAATACCAGACTATCGTTCAGTGTACGTTACGTGTACTATAGATTTTCCTGACATTTTCATGTACATACGATGTTTTTCAAAAATACGATTCCTGGTCTCCGATTCACGCTCCCAACGCTCGTGATTATTTGTCCTTGTTTGTCATTTGATAAACAAGGATCAAATGATTCCGTAACTCGTTATGACAGTAACGACGACTATTATATACCGTCGTAGAACAGATATTCTATAGGATAAAAAAAATTGTACAACAGTGTAACGATGTCGTTACTGTTATAACGAGTTGCAGAATAGGAGGGGGGGGGGGAGGAGAGGGCCCAAGCTGAGTCGAATCAATAATCATGAAAAAAACTGGACCACGTTTTCTAAACGAAAGACGTTCATCTCGAGTGAGATAAACATATAGTCGGGGCGGTAAATTCTCACGCGATAAAACGGTCGATTAAAAAGCTTCGCGGACCCGGAAGGGCAGCGGAAGGGCAGCGGAAGGGAGAATCGAGCACGTACGGCGGCGGCTCTCTCGAGGCGAGGTGCGGAATTTCAAGCGCGGGACAACCGCGGCACGACGTCGTTTCAAGTCTGACGTTACGTTGCACGGTCAGTATTATATCAACTGCGGTCGTGACGATGACCGCGAAGCCA